TCAATCCCCAGCACCACAAACTAAATTTTTAAAAAAATATAAGGAAATGCAAACAAACCTTTATTTATCTAGGGAAGCAATACATCCTAGCAAAGCTAAATTACGCAATGCTTACTTATTTATCCTGTAAGTGTACACTAAAGGTAATGGAAACCCAATAAAGAGTTTTTAAACAAGAGAATGTTGTGATTAGACATATATTTTACAATGTTTAGAGAGCAAATTAGAAAAGAGCAAAACTGAATTTGAGAGACCAAAGTTCAGAGAGGGACAACAGTGAAAATGAGATTCAAGAGATGTTTGGGAATCAAGAGATGGCTCTGAGGGATGACAGTGACTACCAGGTTTCTACTTTGTAAGGCTGAATGTATGGCAGGCCATTCACTAAATAGGGAATAAGAGAGATTTGGTGTTACTGTTATGATCATTTGAGAGAGAGATAAATGTGTCAGATTGGGTTTGAGACGTTTAAGTAAATGTCTGGTAGGCTGTTACACACACAAATTAGAAGATATAAGACAAAGTGGAGGTTGAAGATATGCACAYTTGGGAGTTATATGTGAAACCAAAAAGTAACCAAAAAGAACAGAAAGCACTGTACAAAAAAAGAGACGGAGTATTAAAATGGAAACAAGAAATTACCACAACTTTTAAAGAATACACAGAAAGAAATGAGCTGGTAAAGGAGATTGCAAAGTGGTCTTAGACTGGAGGTGGGGTGTCACCAAAAAAAAAGAAAAATGTCTCAAGGAGAACTTGGCCAATATTGAAGGCTGCTTTTCAAAGTAAAGTAAAATGAATAATGAAAAATGCTACTTAAATTTAGTGACATGAGGGTGTTATTAGGGACTTTAGTGAAGAGCAATCTGGTAACATGATGGGCAGAAGCCAGATTATAATGAGCTAGATTCTGAGTGGGAAGTAAAGAAATGGAAGTAACTAGTTTGGTTCTGAAAAGGAGACAAGTTAAATCTACAACAGGAGTGATTTTGATGTTCTGTTTTTTAAAGAATTGAGTGATYTGAACATATTTAAACCAAAACCAGACAGTGGATAGGCACAAGTTGAAGATATAAGAAGACAAGAGAAGATCAATAGTTTAATATCCTTTTTACTGTTTTTATTAGCATGTTATAGTTATGCATAACAGTGGGGGTTAACTGTAACATATTCTCACGTGTATGTAACATAATTTGTTCTTTTTCATTCCCTAGTATTTCCCTTTTTCTTCTCCTCCTCTCTCCCCCAATCCCCTTCCCTTTACTTGATTGGTCTTCCCTCTACTTATTAACTTTTTAAAAACTTGGTATATCATAATTACACATAAAAGCAGAATTCAATGTAATATATGCACACATTTACACAGGATAATTCAGTCAATTTCATTCTGCTGTTCCTACACTCTCCTTCTCCCTGCAACCTCTTCTACTCTACGGTTCTCACTTCTGTTTTCATGAGATCCCCTTTTTAAATTCCTTATTTCTCTCTAGCTTCCACACAAGATTTGACCCACAACTTTCTATGTCTGGCTTATGTCATTTGGCATGATGTCCAGTTTCATACATTTGCCAGCAAATGACATAATTTTATTCTTCTTCATGGTGGAGTAGAACTCCAATTTTTATATATATATATATACACACACACACATACACACACACACACACACATTATTCATCTGGCAATTGTGAATTGAATTGTGCTGCTATAAACACTGGAATATAAACAGTAATACAGTATGCTGATTTCAGCTCTGGGATAGATTCCAAAAAGTAGAATAACTGGGTATATGGTAGTTCCATTCCAGTCTTTTGAAAAACACCCATACTGATTTCCATACTGGTGATACTAATCTGCAGTCACACAATGTTTAAGTGTTCCTTTTCCCCCATATCCTCACCAGCATTTATTTATATCCTTGATGTTTAYCATTCTAAATGGCAAGATGAAATCTCAGTGTAGTTTTGATTTGCATTTTCCTGATTGTTGAGGATTTGGAACATTTTTTTCAAGTATTTCTTATTCATTTTTATTTCTTCTTTTGAGAAATGTCTGTTTAGTTCATTTGCCTATTTATTGACTGAGACTTTTAAGTTCTTTAAATATTGAAAAAGTAGCTGGCAAAGATTTTCTCCCATGTGAAAAGGAAGAATCTCTTTTCACTTTTTTTTTTTTTTTTTTTTTTTTGGTATTGGGGATTGAACCCAGGGGCACTTTACCCCACTGAGCTATATACAACCTGAGTCCTTTTTATTTTTTAAGACAGGGTCCCACCAAGTTGTTGAGGTTGGCCTCCAACTTGTGATCCTCTTGCCTCAGCCTCTCAAGTCATTGGGATCATAGGCATTTTTTGTTATGCCCAGCTCTCTTTATACTTATTTCCTTTGCTATTCAGAAGCTTTTTAATTTGATCCACTCCACTTATGATTCTTGGTTTTATTACTCGAGCTTTAGAACTTTTACTAAGGAAGTCACTGCCTAAGCCTATATGTTGGAGTGTTGACCCAATGTTTTCTTCTATCAGTTGCAAAGCTTCTGTTGTAGTTCTAAGGGCTTTGATCCATTCTGAGTTGACTTTTGTGCAAGGAGATAGATAGGGGTCACCTTTCATTCTTCCGTATATGGATATCCAGTTTTCTCAGCACCATTTGTTTAAAAAGGCTGTCTCTTTCCTCCAACATTGTTTTTTAGCTCCTTTGTCAAGGATGAGATGACTGTACTTGTGTGGGTTTGCTTGTGTCTTCTATTCTATTCCACTGATCTTCATATCTCTTTTTATGAAAACACCATGCTGTTTTTGTTATAACTCTATAGTATAATTTGAGGTCAGATATTGTGATACCTGCAAGCTTATTCATAGTGCCAGAATTGTTATGGTTATACTGGGTCTTTTATTAGTCCATATACATTTTAGGACTGTTTTCATTCTTGTCTATAAACAACTAAATAAATAAATAAAATTTATAAAAAAATAGATATAAATATTATTAAAATATTAGCAATTAGTATTTTAAAACACATAAAGAAGATTGCATTTCATGATCAAGTTGGTCATTCCCAGGATATAAGATTGATTCAACATACACAAATCAATAAATGTAACTCATCACATAAGTAGAATTAAAGACAAAAATCACACGATCATCTTAATAGATTGTGAAGTCAAATTATCTCTACTTSCAAACTCTAGCACTCATTCATGTTAAAAACGCTGAGGAAACTACAGACAGAAATATAAGGCTCTTGAGATAGTGGGAGAGAGTGAAACCTAGAGGATATAATAAAGAAGGCATGCCTTTAGACAAAAGGATTAAAAATTTTCCAATTCAACAGGAAGGAACACAAGGAAAACGGCAATTGTAGGTAAAGTATAAATATTTGTTAGCAGGAAATTAAGGTAAATCCTATCTGATGGTTTTTATTTTTTCTAAAGTGAAAGACAAGAAATTTGAAAAGAGTGGAGGTTTAAATAGCTGTCCAGTCAGATTGCTATGGGATATCTATTTCTTGTTTTAATATTATTCCATTACTTTTCTGTATACCCACAATTTATTGTTATCTAAAATGAAATAAATGTTTGGGTGATTTTTCTTGTTTTGTTTATAATCATATCAAATTCGATTGTGCAGTTATTACTACCACACTAACAATTACCTATAATGTTTCTTATTAGCTCTCCTGTTTAAAATGCAAAAGACTCACATATTATCTTACATGATGATTTCATTATGTTTATATAAGTAAGCAATCATTTGGCATTATCCACAAATTGTATCTCCACACACCTAGAAGACATACCATTTGTTTAGAGAATTTTATTCCATATTATTTCCCAACTGCGTGGTACTGTCTGCACAACAGCCTGAACAATTCTCTCTCATCCTCCTGCACTCTGTAATTCAACTCGTGACTTGGTTTTTCCCACCATCAGAAGTAGAATCTATTTCCCAATCCTATCAGCTGAACAACACTTGCAGTTCCTGCTGGTGTGTGCCTCTTGGAATGTAGTACTGTGACATGAAAAAGCTTAAGCTAGCCTTCTGACAGATGACATCACATATAAAAGCCAGTCAACAATCAGTGCCAACTTGTAGACCAAGAGCAAGGTCATTTTAAACCAGCAAGTCCCAGTTAAGTTATCTGACACCAGCAACCACATAAGGAGCTGTGGGTGAAACCAATGAAASAACTGTCTCCCTAAGCACAACTTGAACTGCACATCCAAAGTTCGAAAGAGAAAAGAAGTTTTGGCATTCTAATATATATAGTAAGGAACCCATAGATAATAATAATATACTGTATATTTTTTTAAAATAATATACAGTAATTAAAATAATATACTGTATATTTTTTAATAATATACTGTATATTTTTTAGAAAAAAGAATTGGGAATATTTTCACCACAAAGAAAAGGTAAATATTTGAGGTGATAGATATGTTTACCCTGATATAAATATTAAACATGTATCAAAACATTACATGGTATGCCAAATATGTAAAACTATTTTGTATCAGTTAAAAATCAAAAACTAAAAATGCCAGTCAACAGAATTGTTAGGAAATAAAACAACTATTTTAAACCACAAAGGTTGAAGCAACCTATATTTTAATTTATTTTCCATTTTAAAAATATAGTAAAATTACTGAATATATAAATAGCACAAGTGTCCAGGAAATCATACAAAACATCACATTTACTTTTAATGTTTATTTTGTAACTAAACTTAAAGCTTCTTTAAAACAAAATTACCAAAGTTATAATGCTGAGGTTCAGTTTTCTATTTATTTAATCACCTACTATGTACCAGGACCAGAGACAATAACCCTAAAAATCCCTACCTTCATTACCTAAGGTATATAATTCATACATTGGGGAGTTATAGATAATTTAATTTCAAAACATTATCTTCTGATATATTAGTATAATAATATTCATAGTTTTTCAAGGGAAAAACATAGAAATAAAAATGTATATAGTTATGCCAATAATAACTCTTACCCTCATGCCAAGCACCAAGAACCCAATCTCTTCCATTAATGGGTACTTGCTGACCTGTTGCTGAATCTTCTCAGATGAGGCAAAAGGATCATAGCTTTTTCGCCCGATCTTTACATCCATTATACAGGGCTTATTAAATTTATGGGTCACATCTTCCAGTTTTAGGTATAAATCTGTTATTAAATAAAAACTTTAATTAGAAATAGACAAATTARCTCAAGTAACTGTCAAGAGAAAAACAAAATGAGAAGTTTAGGGGCTGGAGTTGTGGCTCAGCAGTGGAGTGCTCGCCTTGCACATGCGAGGTCCTGGGTTCGACCCTCAGCACCACATAAAAATAAAATAAAGTTATTAAATATATATATATATATACACACACACACACACACACACACACACACACACACAAAGATATAAGCTGAAATAAATTTAGAGTCCATAATTATTACTCTTCTACCTAAAAAAAAAAAAGAGTAACCAACAAATTTATAACAAGTATAAATTTCACTGACAAACTCTAGCAGGAGATGAATTTAATAAGTATTCAACTATAAGCAAAAGGTATAAAGTAGATAATAAGGTTTCCACTGGCATCAAAAAGGCAATAATGGGGACAGGGGTTGTGGTTCAGTGGTGTAGTGCATGTCTAGCATGGGTAATGCATTGGGTTCAATCCTCAGCACCACATAAAAATAAATAATGTTTAAAAAAAATCTTAAAAAAAGGGCAATATTATTATTTCAAGAGCTGTCCCAGAATACATTCATACCCCTTTTGAATACTATTTATGGTATCTATGTATTGTTAAGCAAAAAATCTTAGTACTTTAACAATATTTATTTTCCATTTAAAATTAGTAATTGGAGGCAGGCATGGTGGCGCATGCCTGTAATACAAATGATTCCAGAAGCCTAGATGGGAGGATGACAAATTCAAAGCCACCTCCTAGCAAGGCTCTAAGCAACTCAGCAAGGACCTGTCTCAAAAAAATAAAAAACAGTGGGGATGTGGGTTAGTGGTTAAGTGTCCCTGGGTTCAATCCCTGGTACCCCCCACAAAAAAAAAAAAAAACATCCAAATGATGGTCATTGCAAATATACATTTCAGTCTACTAGTTTCAAAGAGAAAACAAATATCTTGCTTTTTAGAATGCAGCATTCCCCAAAAGTTGGTCTGTAAATCACTTTGGCATTCTGCTTGCATGTTCCCACAGAAAACTTAAATGGAGATTCAAGAATAAAATTATAAAAGCCCCAGTTAYTATACACAGATGAGCTGCTTACAGTTGGAGTTTGAAAGGAAGGTCCAATGAGGAAAAAAGTATGCAAAGGAAATTTTTTCCCTTTTCCTAGGTAAAATGATATCATGATTCATTTTCATTTATGAATGTACTAACAAGCATTTCTCCTGAAAACTTTTCAAGATAAGGGAAGATTATATCCTGCTATCTATCAACATAAATAAGGTCATACAAAGAGCCGATTTTCTCAGAATTAAATAAACAGGTACTAGAGGTAAGAGAAGACTTACCCTCTGATGTCCTTTTCTTTGTTCCTGTCTCACCAGGACTAGCAAAGTTATTAAATTACAACAATACACACACACACACTATATACAACCTATATACATATACATATGTACATATATACACGCACATATATATATATATCCCCCTCCAGCAGAACCAAAACTGAGATAACTTAGTTAAGCCCTTCAGATTTAAAAGGCATACATCTGCCACGTGTGGTGGCACACACTTAATTCCAGAGACTCAGGAAACTGAGGCAGGAAGAACACGAGTTCAATGTCAGTCTCAGCATCACAGTGAGACCCTGTCTCAAAAAAAAAAAAAAAATCAATAAAAAGTTGGGGATGTTTAAATGGTAAAGCACCCCTGGGATCAATCCTCAGTAACACAGGTGGGGGAAAAAAAAGGGAGAAAGATCTTCTTCCTCAAGAGAAAAATGTTCTCCCTTAGACAAAGGAATACGGGAGGAAGGTTATGACTATACCCAAGTTAGGCCCAATATGACAAAAGAGCAAATGTAACCCATGAGAGCAGCACCAACTGTATAAGAAGGAGCCCTTCACACTTCTAAGACATCTTCAACAGGATAAGAAAAAACAAAAGGATTGGACACAAACATAACAAGTGTAGGCAGTAAACATGGGACAAGTGGGAATGTCTTGATAAAGGAGCTGGAACACAGTCAAGTTTCTATACTTTAAAAGACAACCAAGTGATGTAGGAGAAGATATGCAGTGTCCTTCGGTCTTCCCTACCATCTCCAATCAAGCAAAAGAGAGGAAACGGATCCATCTTCTCTCTTATATATATAGCTGTATAAGAACTTCAGTACCATGGCTTCGATTCCAAACATCAGAAAAGACTAAAGATTCTGTTATGGTAGATCCTTAACATTCAAATTATCATCATTGATTTGGAGATAAAAGAACCCAAAAATCTTACTAAGACAAGGCTGTCCATGGGAGTAGAAATGCAACAGGAAAACCCCACATCTATATCTCAGTATAAGGTTATTTTCCCCTTGTTGATTTGGTGATTAAAAACAAACTGTTTCTTTTTTTATTGGTCCTTTTTAGTTATAATATATAACAGTAGAATTCATCTTGATATAATTATATAAGCATGGAATATCTTATTCTAATTAGGACCCCATTCTTGTAGATGTACATGATGGTGAGACTCACTGTGGTACATTCCACTGTCTTTCCTTTTCCTATCCTCCCTCCCTTCCCCTCATTCCCCTTTGTCTTATCTACTGAACTKTTTTCTATTCCCACACCCCCCACACATTGTAGGTTAGCTTCTATATACCAGCTAAAACACTCAACCTTTGTTTTTGGGTTTTTTTTTTTTGGGGGGGGGGGGTTGGCTTATGTCACTTAGCACAATAGTCTCCGTATCCATCCACTTACTGGTAAATGTCACAAAGCCATTCTTCTTAATGGCTGAGTAATACTCCATTGTGTATATGTACCACATTTTCTTTATTCATTCATCTGTCATTTGTTTATGATAAAATAGAACTGATAGAAGCTGGGATAGAGACTTTGCAAGTCTGAATATAAAAATCCCTATTTTTTCTCTCTTTTTGGAAAGGAGGAAAGTATAAATGTAATCTACTTATAGTATAAATATAATACTTTGCTGAATTATGAGTGTTTACCCTTTCCAATCCTACTTCCCAGTGGGAGTTTGGACTTGGCCCTCCTTTCTCACTCTATGAGAGAGTCATTTCTTCTGTAAATAGAGATGAGTGTAACRGATTTTATTTGATTTTTATTTTCACTGGCTCAATTCACTTTAGTTTCAGGTTCTTGATGTAACTTTATGATTGAAATGATCAAATAATTGCTACATTAATTATTACWAGCTTTCAGAAATAAAACCTAAAGTTAAGGCCTACTGAGGGTTGGTTTGGTGTTTTGTTTTAGTTCTCTGAACTCAATTTTCTCTAAATAAAAATAAGAACTTGAGATTCTCATATCATTTTTTCTAAATTATTAAAAGTAAACACCAAAAAATGCTTTAAAGATACAAAGTTCTTAGGAAAGAAATGTTGTTATGAATTCCAAGTAAGCTTCTGAAGAAGGTAAGCAGGAAAAAAACTGGGACATGATCTGAACACTGAGATTGTTACTGTTTTTTTATAACCTGTCATCTGTATATAAATCTGAGTATTAATTCACTCTGAAAAATGCTACTAGTAAATTCTTTCCACAGAACACAGCTTAATTCAAAGTAGGTCAATCTGGAGATTCAGTTACTTATATGATCAAAGGCATTTTCTACAGACGGCTTCATAAGGTAATGCTACAGACTGGATAACAAAGGGCACTTTTTCAGCTAGGCCCCTCTGGGGGTAGAATGGAGCAGTACTTTTCCATTTGTAGGTCACTACCCATTATTTCAACTTAATAGATGAAAGAATGAGAAAATATGAGACTGTCTTATATAACCTAAGACTAAATATTGTTATGGGGTTGGTTTCAATCTTAGAAACACTTAGCTGTGATGTAAAAATATATTTATTACTTGTCACAGGCAAAGAATTTTTACAACACTCAATTTGACTAAATAGAATGTCACTGGGTATTACAGTGACGGCTCAAGAGCTAACCACAGACCCTCAGAAGTGATTTGTTTGCAGTCATTGTCACACTTTGGAATTCACTGAGGAAGGAGTGAATCTGACACAATCTTGGCCAGTCTTACCAATTTAGAACAGGGATTCAGAAAAAAACCTGTTGGTGACATCTCTGAGTCTACTTGAGGAGCTAGCACAAGATCGCCAAGGAGAGAAGAGGAAGGATTAAGAAAACTACAGAGAGAGATAGCCCTGGGCTTTTATACAATTTGATTTCTAATTCTGGCCCCATCTTGGGCTCAGATATGTAACTCTTGGCTTTCAAAAGCTACCCCTGTATCCTTATAAATAAAGTCTCCCTTTTTGTTTAATCAAGTTCATTTCTAGAACTTACATCTAAAGAATTTTAACCAAAATGATCAAGTTTAAAGCAATTACTTTGGAAGCACAGAAATAAGTTCAGATCTCAACTCTACCATGTATTAGTCTGTGACCTCAGTAGCACTTCTCTATACCTCAAATATATATAAAATGGAAATAATTTTAGAATCTACCAGAGATATCACAAAGATTAAATGAGATACTGTATGGCGCAGTGTCAATACTAGTTCCACAAATGAAGGTTACAACATTCCTTTACTTCAAAAGTAAAACTGCATATACTCTACATATAATTACCACACAAGGTACTGTTCTGGGATATACAGGTAAAMAAAACAGGTAAAATCCTTGTCTTTACAGAGCTACTTTTTAAGAGTATAAACAGCATTTTATTTAGCATAATGCCTGGTGCATATCTGATACTAACTGAACACTTATTAATTTTACCTATAAGTATATATAAATATTAAACATGTATAGCATTGATAAATATTAAAATCTACCAACTAGATTAGACCAACAATGAGATTCAGGTCAAACTTCAATATTCAGTATAAACAAAAATATAAAATGATTCTATGAAGTATATGCATACCCTTCCATATAAGTTAACAACTACAAAATAAAAAGACAGTCACAACCCAATTAAGCATTTAATAATGGATATTTATCAACCCTGA